TTATTTGCAAGCGGCTGGTGGATTATAATCGACTGCGCACTATCTTATGATGACACACAACTTCCCAATAAAATGCACTCAATCGGCAGCATTGCTACCGTTGGGTTCATTTTGCTAAATGTGATTCCTCGGCGGCACGTAAGACATATAATTGACTTGGTTTTGATTGATATTTATTCAGTGCTATGATTTCCTTTGGTTTCTGTCAACGTTTGCGCTTCGACAGGCAGCCTAGCTAGACTGCCTATCGAGATCTTAACATCTGCCGGTTCTACCCGCTGCATTTGCGCATTCTTATTACATTGTCCCAGGACATGTGCGTCAAATGAATGTAACTGCCTTTGGTCTAACCTACAAATAGGCCAGAAACGTTGCGAAGCCCGGTTACTTTTATAATTGTCTGCATAATGCCAGATTACTCCTGATTTAACCTTTTGTCCCAGTAATGGTTGGAATTGATAAAGCGTAATGTGTGCCATTTCGGTGATTGTTTACCAAATAGTGGCGGCAAGGGCTCAATGAGGATTTGGCTGACAATTATAGTGACTAACCCTTCCAAATGAAAAACTGGGTCGCCTCCACATCTCTTAGAGTGTCATTCCACCAGTTACAGTTTACCAGGAGCATTTGCAGTTATTGGACGTCTCGCTTTTTATTCGCACCACACAAGCGTACTTTTCACTTCCTTTAAACGTGTATTTCGACGTTTGAGTTACGGGCGACAATGACTCTTCCGGCGTGCGTTCTGTGTGCAGCAGTATAGACATTGATTTATCTAGTTCCGCTAGTTGATAAGACCGCGCCCGTTTTCTGATAGTACAACAGGGTGTTATTGGGAATTAAGACGGGCTCTCGCTGAAATTGGTAGTCTTACGATGTATGCCCTGACACTAGTAAAGCGATGTAATCGGTATAGTCGACATCAGTCAACCGGCACCCGAGTGCAAGCTCAATACGTTCATTTTCCCGTAGGATTCTTGAGTAGGCCCTGGACACTTTTAAAACCCATGGGTTAATTCAATTGTTGTCGCACTACTCGATGAATCCTTTCAGTTAACTCGCAGATTGAGGACTTCAGGAAAGAATGCTACTGCGTTCTTCGGTGGGGGTCAAAAAGTAAGACTGAACCTCGGTTGCGTTGCACTTTCGTTGTTTTCTGACATGAGGAAGTGTTGTACAACCCGTTTTGGGTGCGGATAGTGGATCTGATGGACTGCAATGTTATGCAAAATTTAAAAAAAAATTGTGTTGGTCAATGAACACCCCGTCGCATCGAGAACTAATTCCAGGACCGACAGTAGGGTGGCTATCTAGACAGTTACGAATCCAATCCGACTAATTCAGTTATTTGTAACACTCGTCAGACTACACCCAGGGTGTTTAAAGTCTGCCCTTGCGATTAGATTACATCTTCTTACTAACCGACAGTTAATGCTTGAGTGTAGCCCATGACATGAACAGTGATTGGGGTGCCCGTTCAACTTTGACCAGTGCTGTATCGCATCGCATCAGATGGGTCGCCAGTAAATTCGGGACTGGTTCCAGAGACCCTGCCTTCCTGAACCGAAGTCTGGTATTACAGACTATTGGTTTAGTTGTGATGACTGCGCGCTGTCAAACTTTCGACACTAGGTTCGAGGGACCCAAACATTTAAGCACCTTAAGTCGCCCATTCGACGTGGTCGAAGTTGCCTTCTAGAGACCGTGTCAGAATCGAACCGTATCGCAAGCCAACCTATTTCATTGGTGCTTCACACATTTCGTGTATTTTACTATCGAAACAACCAGTACCAATCGTGATTTAGCCTACTTCGTCCCACAGATGTACGAAGAATTATCACGCCCCTTTGTAAGCGGTCAATGGTAGACTACCGAGCGACGTCGGGCCACTTTAAGTTCCAGCCCCGACGATCCTGGTGACAGAAATGCTTTAAAGTCAACTCCCACTAGCGTCTATCTTGGTGCCGTTTCCAATCAAGATCGGACTCGGATGGAGAGACCTGAACGATCTGACCTCCGGGTCGATACCGCACATATTCGGGCCGTCTTAGAATGTGTAAAATATGTATTGGTCCGTTTTTCCCGGGCGACTGTACGGTTCTTCGCTCTATTAAAGTTCCAAAAATGGAATTTTATCATTATCGAGGTAAATCAACTTTCTTGAACAAATCAGAAGTGAACATTTTCAGCCTGTTAATCGACGAACATCACTCCTTGATGATATCAGTAGGACGCAGACGTGAAAAGCCTAATGGCATCCGTTTTCAGTGCATAAATACAGTTCGAGCCTGGCGATTTAGAAAGATTGCGCTACATTGTTGACCATATTTTTCAGTAGTGTCGTTATAGCATGGTATTTCCCCATACTTTGCATTTCAGTGATACACTAGCACGATTTAACAAGCGGGCTTTCTTGTTCACTATGCTAATTCCCGCACTATTAGGCTCCGCTTTGTCGATTCAGCCTATTCCCAGTTATTTTATAAACAATGAAAACGGTTGTTTATACACCAGCAGTTCTGCCTTCCGCTGCCTATGTCATTTAACAGGCGTTATTGAAATTTCCTTAGCCCAGTCGAATATTGGACCGGGTTAATTGTTAACCGGTAGATTTTCCTCTATGAGGTGGATGGGTCTTACCATGTGTTTCCTGATTGACAAACAGCCATAAAATACTAGAATTTTGTCACTCTAACGGAGGTATGTGTTGAATGGCCTTTTCCTTTTTTTCAGGTTGTGGAATTCAATGATACACCCGCTTGTACTAAGGTCTTCATTTTCTTCGGCCTGTTGGTGAACTTTGCGAGTCTAATAGCTGCTACCTGGGTCCTATGTAGCGAATACGCAACGGGCGCCATTACTCCAGTCTACCCGGGCGTAGCTGTATTTCTGCAGACTCTCTTAATTGTCGCTTCATCTTTCCTTTATCGTCTTGGGCCAACATTCGACGAGAGCTACTAGTTCTCGAAAGAGAAATTCACACAATGCATCAACTTTTATTTGGCCAAAGTACAAAAGATCTCATCTCGCCGTCAGAGGAACTCGCTGTCAATCTTCTTCACTTTCATCAGTGGCGGGAAGAGAAGGAATTGTTCTGAATTTTATCATAAACTTACTGAAATTAACTTTCACTTACCATGAAACGGATATCTCCTTTGTATCAGCCCACTCTCTGGTGCATTTTCATCCATCTGAAAAGACGTTTCTGGTTAATTAGTCATCAAAAATACATCGAACGCCGTCTACTTTTAAGAACTGTCCTTTGCAAAACTGGAGTGGAGATTTAGGTGCAACAAACCAGTGGTACTGCTTTTACACACGTCTCAGGCCTCGTTCCAACTATGGTGTTGGTTTTTTTTTCCATCAGTACTTCCCTATTAATCCCAGAACATGAGGGTGTTAGCCTGATTTTATTATGCCAACGGATTAGGCACTTACCGTGTTCT